GCCACCAAGGCATGTAGTGTAGCTTTCCAAAGAATCATCTCGGTATACACGAGCCAGAGCAAGGATCTCGGATGAGGACCAGGGAGTAGGAGATACTGTGGTCCGGCGACCCCTCAGGCTTTCGCCGAAAGCAGTGGCCTCGGCGGCGGCTTCTGCCGGTTCCAGCTCAATTTCCTCTTCGCTGACCACGTCGGCGAGGGCGGTGCGAGAAGCACCCAAGTCAGCAGCACGATTGGAGCTTTTGCTGGTGTCGCTGGCGAGATCGGAAAGCCCCGAAGCAAGATCGGGTGCCGCCGGGGTCTCGAGGCGATTGGGTGCTGCCAGGGTCTCGAGGCGATGGATGCTTGTCCAGATCTCCTCCCACGGTCAAATGTGACAATGCACCGGAGGCACCCGAGGCCGAAGCCCCCATCGGACGGTCGAGTCGCATCCGAAGCCCCGCATCCTCCCACTCGGCAGCTGTATGAAATCCTCCAAAATCACATTCTGTCATGGCACGACGAGAAGCAGCGTCGAGCTCGCGCTCGACTTGCTGTTGGCGCCGCAGTGCAAGGGCGATGTGCAATTGCAGGAACGCCGAAGCCATCGCCTCTAGAAAACTATCTACCTCTCCGTCGGCTTGGTCTGGCTAGAGAGCCGAGACCCTGCGAAAGTCTCGCGACGGTGCTCGTCGCCCCTGCTGCTGCCACTCCGAAGCGATGATGCGGGGTCCCCGCCTATCCGCAGGCATGGCTTCGCTGCACAGGGACGAACCTCCGCCTGTCGAGGCCCCCCGGTTCTCCCGCGAATGCTGGCAATTGGTTTTTGTCACCACCAAGCAAAACAGTTCCCCGCCTGTCCAGGAGCTGCCCGTCGCGACCAGCAAAGTGCGTCTCTGTCAACGAGGCAAGGACCTGAACGAAATAAGCACACCGAAGAAGAAAGCCCGGTCCGTCGCGTCTGGTTCCTCCTCTCCCCTGCACGCAGAACCTCATTTTCCGTAGTAGGTCTTCTTTCGGTATGACACTGTGCAGAAAGCCGGGAGCGACGCCCGGAGCACGCCCAAGAACCCGCTTGAATGCCGTCTCACCGGTCGAAACCAGGATGGGCGGTGCCTTGACGCGGCTAGCGAGACCGTTCAGCAGCCCCGCACATAGATCGCTGGAGCGGAAAGCTTCCTGTATTTTTGAAGGCAATTGCAACTCCATGGCAATGTGCCGCGCGAGCACAACCCCAAAAAGTAAGTCACGTGCGACCTCGGCTCGGCCTGGCTAGAGAGCCGAGACCCTGCAAAACTCTCGCCCTGCTGCACACACATGCTCCGAGACAAGAGAAAGAAACCGTCGGCTTCCCTGCATCCTCCCACTCGGCAGCTGTATGAAATCCTCCAAAATCACATTCTGTCTTGGCACAACGAGAAGCAGCGTCCAGCTCGCGCTCGACTTGCTGCTGGCGCCGCAGTGCAAGCGCAATGCGCAATTGCAAGAACGCCGAAGCCATCGCCTCTAGAAAACTATCTACCTCTCCGTCGGCTTGGTCTGGCTAGAGAGCCGAGGCGCCGCGAAAGTCTCGCGACGATGCCAGTCGCCCCTGCTGCTGCCACTCCGAAGCGATGAAGCGGGGTCCCCGCCTGTTCGGAGGCATGGCTTCGCCGCATAGGGGCCAACCTCCGCCTGTCGAGGCTCCCCGGTTGTCCCGCGAATGCTGGCAAGTGGTTCTTGTCACCAGCAAGCAAGACAGTTTCCCGCCTGTCCAGGAGCTGCCCATCGCGACGAGCAAAGTCTGTCTGTCAACGAGGCAAGGACCTGAACGAAATAAGCGCACCGAAGAAGAAAGCCCGGCCCGTCGCGTCTGGTTCCTCCTCTCCCCTGCACGCAGGACCTCATTTTCCGCAGTAGGTCTTCTTTCGGTATGACACTGGCTCCAGGATCCTATGGCAACAGCCACCGGGAGGCGATGCTCGCAAGGGGTCCCGCGGCTGCAGAAAGCCGGGAGCGACGCCCGGAGCACGCCCAAGAACCCGCTTGAATGCCGTCTCACCGGTCGAAACCAGGATGGGCGGTGCCTTGACGCGGCTGGCGAGACCGTTCGGCAGCCCCGCACATAGATCGCTGGAGCGGAAAGCTTCCTGTATTTTTGAAGGCAATTGCAACTCCATGGCAATGTGCCGCGCGAGCACAACCCCAAAATGTAAGTCACGTGCGACCTCGGCTCGGCCTGGCTAGAGAGCCGAGACCCTGCAAAACTCTCGCCCTGCTGCACACACATGCTCCGAAACAAGAGAAAGAAACCGTCGGCTTCCCCGCATCCTCCCACTCGGCAGCTGTATGAAATCCTCCAAAATCACATTCTGTCGTGGCACAACGAGAAGCAGCGTCCAGCTCGCGCTCGACTTGCTGCTGGCGCCGCAGTGCAAGCGCAATGCGCAATTGCAAGAACGCCGAAGCCATCGCCTCTAGAAAACTATCTACCTCTCCGTCGGCTTGGTCTGGCTAGAGAGCCGAGACCCCGCGAAAGTCTCGCGACGATGCCAGTCGCCCCTGCTGCTGCCACTCCGAAGCGATGAAGCGGGGTCCCCGCCTGTTCGGAGGCATGGCTTCGCCGCATAGGGGCCAACCTCCGCCTGTCGAGGCTCCCCGGTTCTCCCGCGAAGGCTGGCAAGTGGTTCTTGTCACCAGCAAGCAAGACAGTTTCCCGCCTGTCCAGGAGCTGCCCATCGCGACGAGCAAAGTCTGTCTCTGTCAACGAGGCAAGGACCTGAACGAGATAAGCACACCGTGGGAGAAAGCCCGGCCCGTCGCGTGGAGTTCCTCCTCTCACCTGCACACAGGACCTTATTTTCCGCAGTAGGTCTTCTTTCGGTATGACACTGGCTCCACGATCGTATGGCAACAGCCACACGCTGTTCCCTAGGACCCAGAAGCCTGGGCGAGGCAACAGTCGCGACCAACCTTCGATTGGAGACCTAACTGCGACTGCGCCCAGCACTGAAGAACAAAGATTGCGGGCCAGTTGGCATCGGTCACGAGTCGCGGAAGGAGTTCCGAGATTGCCGCGTGGACCGCGATGGGGTGCGGAAGACCGATGCTGGAGAAGTTGGATCATGTCACTGGGATTTTGATGAGAAGCGGGCTTGCCTTCAAAAGCATGGTCCGTGTTCAGGACGTCTTGGTTCACCCTCAGAACCGAGGAGGCCAGATGCTCAGTGTGGAAGATGTCCACCTCAAAGGAGCGAAGTTGCTCCAAGTCGGGATAAAGAAGGACTTATTGGCGGGGTCAGTCTTTTTTGCCGTGGGGCATTCAGACGACATCAACAAGTCCCAAGTTGCGGCGAACCAGCAACTGGTCCAGGGTCACCCAGACCTCCTGGCAGAGGTGACTGGTCAGGAGCGGTTCCTGCCGGTCGGCGCTAGCCACACCTCGGCTTTCTTTCGGGCAGTGGCAGCAGGGAAGACGGCTCCTGCTTCTGCAGACCTGATCGACCACCAATCCCCGGCTTTGAAAGACATCCTGGAGAATGGATGGGAGTGGGTGGTCATCTCGGCTGCTGCAGAGACAGCCTTTCCCGATTTGCCTCGATTCTACTCGCTGGCCCTGAATGCACACGCCGCCAACTTGAAACAGATGAACGAGATAGAGGCTGCATCGCAGATGGCTCTTGGCTTGCGAAATGGCCTCACGTTGAAGAAGGCCATCGAAGAAGTCCGTGCGGCTGAGCCTTTGTGCAAAGCCTCTCTCGATGCGATTGGGTATTACGCATCTCACTACGGTGGCGGCGACGAAATGCCGTTGATCGCCTTCCTCGGGAAATTTGGATGTCCGGCTGCAAGTAAGCTACTTTTGTATGTATGTATTGAAAGCCTATATTATTGCTGTATGCATTTGCAAGCCTACTTTTGGCTGGGAAGCCTCATCTGGCTATGTGTACGGAAGCCTAAACATGGCTATATGAGCCTTGCATGGCTAAATGGGCATAAAGCCATGAGAATGGCTGCTTGCCAGTTAATAAGCCTTGCAGCTTTTCGGAAATATAAAGCCTCCAGATGGCTATATTAGGTGGGAAGCCTGCAGATGGCTGGCATGCATGCAGGCTGTTTATGCATGTGTATTGCAAATCCAGGAAAGCTGCATGGCACCGTGATGATTGGAGAGTTCTACTACTTTAGTTGTGCTGGCTAGGCGTGTATCCCGAAGGGATTAAACTAGACAGAAGGACTGCCTTTTCCTGGAGTGCCGTATGCCCACAAAGTCCGGGCAGCAGTCAAGCAAGCTGTTCGAGGTTGATGGGTGGACAAACCGCACCATCAACGGGAAAGGAGCAAAAGTGATGCACAATTTTGTATCGAAGCAACGAGGACCAAAAGCACAAGCAAGAAAGTTAAAGAGCTAAGCAACATGATGACAGCATTTGCATCTGTTGTGGCAGGTAGAGCGTGCAAAACAGCTTACGCAGCTGAGTACACACAACTGTAATGTACAATCATGTGCCCGCTGGCAGCGAAACGCGAAATAAGGCCCGATGCGAACTGTAAGGCAAGTTGCATTTGAATACTCAAGCACAAGACGTATGAGGCTTTCGGGCTGGTGTGAAACGTGAGGTGAAGCACAGCACTCTAGATACGGCTGCCCCGGAGCCGATACTCTTGATTTTCTTGTTACGGGGATCTTGAATTTGTTTCTTGTAGCCAATGCCGGTGAGACTGCTCAAGCGTGAAACGGGCGGGTGGGTGAGGATTTCAAAGAAGATGCCTAGCCAGCACAACTGAGCCAAAATGTTCGCACGAACATAAAGTAGTAAAACAGATGTGAACAAGTACACAAACCGTTCTACTACTTTAGTTGTGCTGGCTAGGCGTGTGTCCCGAAGGGATTAAACTAGACAGAAGGACTGCCTTTTCCTGGAGTGCCGTATGCCCACAAAGTCCGGGCAGCAGTCAAGCAAGCTGTTCGAGGTTGATGAGTGGACAAACCGCACCAATTTAGAACTACCCAGCAACCTCGCCAAGCAAAAACCCCCGAATCTATGTGAGGTTGGTGGGCACTCCACGGGAACGAATTTGCCACGGAAGCTGCACTGAAGAGGGTGACACACTGATCATTGGCCGCGGAAGCCAAAGATCCTGAAGCGTAGCGGAAATGCGCTCATGCTGAAAACAGTCTGGAGGCAAGGAGTGCTCTTGCGGTCTAGATAGCGCATCGGCTTTATCATTGTCCTCACCTGGTATATGAGAGACGTCAGGAGTGATTCTATGCACTGCTGCAAGAAGTGAGATCCGCTCCAAGAAAAAGCACAACGGCTGACTTGTTGTCAAGGAATTGTTAAGGCCTGATTCCGCACCCGTGTTATCTGAAAGAGCTCTGAGAGTAATTGGGACGCAACTGCATGGAAGCAAGGCAGATGCCGCGAGTATCAGCGCTGCCTGTGCGAGAGCTTCATAACACGAAATCCCCCTTGCCATATCAGCTTGAACCCCAATGCCCAAAGCCAAGAAGTCAGCGTGCGCAAAGGTTTGCTGGAACCAACGGTGACCTAAGGAGGGGTGGCGTACATAGCCACCTATGCAGCAATGAGAACCCCGGGCGCTCACATTTGCACGTGCATCAAAAAGCGGAGTGGCAGGCTGTCGCATCGAGCGGAACGGTGACATATGCAAAAGCCAATGCTCGAAGATGCCAAGAATGCGCAGCGAGTTAAGGCTCAATTTTCGCTTCTTGCTGTTTTCACTCGAAACCCTAAGCCAAACCCTACGATCCGAAACACGAACTTTATCAAGATCCTGAAGCGAGTGCAAGTCTTGGTGACGTGCCGAAAGAAGTTTGGAGTTGAGCGGTATCCCCGTACCTGGCGGCGTCACGGTGAAATGCAAATCTGGCGTCAAGTATCTGGGAAGTTCATGCCAGGGCTCTGGCGGAATGCTGTAGTTCGTGGCAGCCGGACTGTAGAGGTCGTGATAAAAGGTATGCAGCATGCTCTTCATGACTGGGAAGAGGCTTGTAGCCCAAAGTGCCAGGCCAATAAAGCGTTCCAAATCTTTTTTGGTCAAGCGAGGATTTTTGCGCAGGTCCTGAACCATGCCCAAAAGTTTCAAGCGCTTTGATTCTTTAAGCAACACGATACCCGCAGAATACTGGAAATCCCAGCCTATCCAAGTGACCCGAACTGAAATCTGGAGTTTGTGCCATGAAAGGGGCACTCCCATGATCTGCATGAACATGCAAATCATGGCACCTGTTGCTGGAAGAATAGATAGCTCCTGAGAGAAGAGGTAATCGTCCACAAACGACCCGTATGTGCAATGTAGATGAGAATGCGAAGGATGCGCAGGATGCATGAGCCCAGTCTCCCCCACCAGTGCTGGGCGAAGGTTGCTCCGAACGGGCAAGTACGATAGAAGTAGAGGGCATTTGAGCCATCCGGTTCCTCGCATGTGAAACCTAGCAACCCTTGTTCTTCATCTTTGACAACGCAGCGCTTATGGGCCGACTTAATGTCAATCGAAAGTGCACCTTGAATCTTCGAGCATTCCCTGATGGGATAGGAATGTAATACATCGCGAGCTTGGCATATGCTGCTTCTCAGGCACAGAGCAGTTTGCATTTGTACCACACACTGAGTTATCAAGGCAGAGCCGCTCAGAACGGCCAGGAGCCCGAACAACTGAAAGTTTGCCAAGCGCAACTCCTAGTGGCCAGCGTTGCTGAGCATCAGCCAGCGAACCCTCAAACTTGAAGCAAAACCCTTGATCAAGTTCTTCCTGAAGCAGCCTGCGAGCAACCGCAGGTTCCACTGTAGCCGAACGCCAATTTTGCAAGTGAATCGAAAGTGGCACATCATCAAGGGATTCCCGAATGTTGGGCCAAAAGCAATTTGAGGGCGGTATGTCCGCCTGGAACCCCGTCTGAACACCGGCTTTCAGGGCTGGGAACAAAGTGGTATCTGGGTCTAAACTCACCTGAGCCACAGCCTCTAAGGCATGCAAGCAAAGAGGCTGATGTGCACGCTGCGACCACGCATTTGCTGGGGCTGCAATGCCCAGTGCCGAGAAAAAACCTTCCCTAGCCAAAGCAACTTCCGAAGCCGAGAAAAGAGGTTCTTTGCTGGGCTCATTGCGGCGCTGAAGAAGGCGGGCTGGCCCGCACATGGATGCAGTAACCTGAAGCAAGAAGGATCGCAGATTACGCAGAAAGTCAGGAGTGCAGGGTGCACGCCAATCAGCATGGGAGTGGCGACCTGCCCCATCGTGGACTGCCCATGGCAACTGATCCATGGGTTTACGCGGAACCAATGTGAGGGCCTCTTGCACAGACAATGGGGGGCCTGATTTTTCCAGGAGCCCGCGTATCTGGGCTGCAAAAGTTGTAGCAAGTGCTTCTGGATACTGTGCTGTTTTTCTACTTTTAAACAAGCCGGAACCATCGAGACCGCGCATAACAGGATGCGCATCTCGCCCATGCTCGCAGACACAGCCCATGTTGCGCAGGGGGGCATAGCTGGAAGCGAACAACCATGTTTTTGCCCAGGGAAGGCCATAGCCCCACAAGCTGCCACCCAGATAAGAGAGGCTGAGCATTCGTGAAGCCAGGACTGTAAGCAAGGTTCCTCCCAGGACATCGCACCCGCAGGTTGCTCAACGTGACCATGACCGCCTGCTGAATAAACTATGGACACGCATTTGCAGCAACGAGATAGGATTTCCTTGCTCTCCTGAAGTTTGGCAAGATCTGAAGGACCCAAGCCAGGTACACCGTCCAAATATTCTGGTGTACGAATCGGAAATGGTGGGCCACCTGACAGCTTCAAGCGCGAGTAGTGCGAGCAGCTAGGAGAAGCAGCGCAGTAACCGACAGCGCCTGAACCGCAGATGAACAAAAGCTGCTCAAAGAAGTCATCCCGAAGCAAATCCAATGCAGGATCCAAAAGAATGTCAATTGAGAGCGTAGCGAAACCAGAAGCTTCCACAGCACTTGAAAGCGGTTTGGTCACACCGGAGCAAATGTCCAAGAAAAAACGCTGAGGGATATTTGCTAGGGCAGCGAGTGCAGCCGAGGGACGACTCGGGGCAGGGGAAGGCAGGGGCGGTTTTAGGGAATGGTTCCTAAACCCAAAAGCCGAAGGTGCACCCCAACTCATGCCTAAACCTGAATGTGCTTGTGACGGCTCGGCTCGCTGCAGCTTCGAAGGGCCCAAAGGTGGGACCTGAGGCGGAGCGGCTGTGACAGGAAAATCAAGCGATGCCAGCAGTACATTATCGCAATTTGACATAGAAAAGGCAGTCAAGACCCAGCGCTCGCCGGAGAAGGGTTCGGTCATATGCCAAGCATGTGCAGGAAACTTGACGGGGTTTTCCTTTGTGCAAAGCAGCTTGCCCTTAAGCGAAGTGTTTAGCGATGGTATGAAGCGCATGTGATCACCTGATACATCCTCAAGCCAAAGCGAGCCGCCGGTAAAGGAGCCCAGGCTAACCGAAATATTGGAAGACCCCGGCACATTAGCTGTATCCCTGTGAGCCGAAGTGACAATGTTCTTGGCCACGCGCAGCGCATTCCAGGATTCGTCTGGAAACAGTAGGCGAAAAAACTTATTAAGGGCTTTGCAGACAGCTGGCAGCTCGCGAGACACCCGAGTGAGCTCCGAGCGATTGCTGACTTGACAACCGAAGTTCCAATAGCCTGATGATGCGGAGTTCGCTGAAACGACCTGGCGAGATTGCGAGCCTGGCGGAGGCCAAGAACATGATTGCAGAAGCGAAAGGCATGAAGCGTAGTCATGAACAGAGGCTGAAGCAACTGAAGTCTCTGGGACATGAGCTGCATTGCTATGTGTCCCCAAAAGCGTACGGCGATGATTTTTAAATACCCGGACATCTAAACAAGTTAAACAGGTGTGTCATACTACTTCCGTGGGCATTGTCTCTTGGCCGCCCAATTTTAAAACACACGGAAAGACAACAACACGAGACTCCAGCCCGCAGACTCCGTCCTCCAACCTTCGCCTTTCCAGCCCTCTTCCCAGCCCTTCAGCCCTCCAGCCTTCCAACCTTCCAGCCTTCCAGCAGCCTTCCAGCCTTCCAGTTTCAGCCCCTCCAGCCTTCCAGCCCCCCCTCCTTCCAGCCTTCCAGCCCCGCCAGCCTTCCAGCCTTCCAACCTTCTAGCTTTCCAGCCCTCCAGCCTTCCAGCCCCTCCAGCCTTCAAGCCTTTCAGCTTCTCCAGCGCCGGCGAAGATCGAGGCTTGAGTTTTCGAAGAAGATGGAAGCCCATTGGCGGTCCAAGGCGGACGCCAAGGATTGGGACTCTGTCGCAGCTGACTTGGAGGTTTACGCCCTCGCCGGCCAAGCCGTCAGCTCTGACTCCAGGCGAACTCCCGAGTACAAGGCTCAAGTCGTTGAAGGGCTGCGTCTTGGTCCCTCGGAGTGCTGGCCGGGGCTCACCGAAGCGGACCTTGCCGCGATCAAGGAAACGGTCGGCCGTAAGGCGGCGGCCTTCTGGGTTGAAGGCACCGCCAGGACCACTGTCCGGAAGTTCGCGCACGACTGCGTGCCAACTGGTCCTCCGGTGAGTTCCCAGCCGCACGCGCTCCGTGGGGAGGCGGCGCAGTGGGTTGACGACCGCCTTGAAGAAGAGGTTCAGCGCGGCCAGCTTGTCCGTGGCTCTTCTGCTTGGGGCTCGGCGCCTTTCCCGACTAAGGAGATGCCCTCCCACAAGCGGGCGCGGAAGCGCCGCTTAGTCGTGGATTATCGGCGCGTCAACGCCAGGGTCAAGAGGTCGACCTACTATTGTCGGCGGGGCACGGACGTGCTCGCCGCATCGGTAGGGTCGGTCTGGTATAGCTTCGTTGATGCTGTTTCTGGTTTTAGCCAGATAAGGAACACGAAGCGTGCCAGGGAGGTGCTGGCGATAGTGGCTCGCAGCGGGAAGTACCTCCCGATTGGCCTCACGTTCGGCTCGGTGAACGGCCCTGATGACTTCAATTATGTGGTCGATAGGGCGTGCGCGCCAGGCCGGGGGCGCAAGCTTAGGTTCACCAAGGAATGGGTAGCCTATTAGATGACCTCACGGTCCGGACTGGACGTGTGGTCGACGTTAGGTTTCTCACTGACGGTGAGGCAGAGGAGATCCGAGCGGCGTGCCGGAAGGGCAGCCAATCGGCCCCACAGTCGGCCTCCTCTGCACTTGAGGCGCTCGGCGCTCGGGGCCTCACTTCCTCGAGCCCTGTGCCCCGTGATGTGGGCCAGGAAGCTGCGCAACGGTTTAAAGCAAAACATGATGAGGCCCGCCCATCCCACCCGGGCGTCGTTACCTTCCCTCCTCCCCTTCGTCGTGTTCGTCGTTGTGGTTTTTAGGGGTTGGGAGGTTAGGGGTTGGGAGGTTCGGGGGGGTGCGTGGGGGAGTCTCTGGACGCAAGCGTTTTTGCCTAGGCCTTTCTACTGCTTGCTACCGCTACTGCTCTTTGCGTGCTTAGGTCAGCAGCGAGAGGGTAGTTTGGTAGGTGACGCAGGTAGAACGGGTCAGGTAGAGTGCCCTGCGCCCCTTTCCCCAGAGCCTTGTCGTGACCAGGTGACCGCGGCGCAGCTCCTTTGGCTTCAAGGTAGGAGCTTGACTAGTGTGGGGCCGACCGTGCCCCGCGTAGCCTCTCGCGTAGGCCCGGTAGCGTGCAACTGCGCATGGACCGGCTGGTCGCGTGTTCTCCCCTTCGCCATCTTCCGTTTTACTGCCGGCCCCTCGTGGACCGGACGCGAGGATGGGTAAGTCGAAGAAGAAGGAGGGCCGAGAACACAGCAGGTGGCAGCCATGGGTTTGGGAAGGTAACCCTTTGGCTTGCCAAAAGGCAATGACGCAGGGTCTGAGACACGGCAAATTCAACTTTGCCGGCCAGCTGGAGGAAGGGGGGTGGATCGGGATCGATTGCCTCTGCAGACTCCTCCAGGTGCCCCGTAGGGCCGCAGAAGCCGCGATCCAGTTGGATCTGGATACTGCTCAGTCCGGCAGGGACAAGCAGAGGCTCGAAGCGGGGGCAGAGTCCGAGCCCGGCAAGGCCATGGCCGTGGCTCTGGGATGAGCGCGGTCGACGTGTACGGCCCGCGGCTGGACCAGGCCGCTCTCAGGGACCTCTCCCGTGAAGCGGGGTCCACCCTGTGCCACGGCACTGAGGTGTACTTTGCCAGAGGGATTGGCCGGGACGGGCTGGAAGGCTGGAAGGCTGAAAGGCTGGAAGGCTGGAGGGCTGGAAGGCTGGAAGGCTGGAAGGCTGGAAGGTTGGAAGGCTGGAAGGCTGGAGTGGAGGGTTGGAAGGCTGAAGCTGGAAGGCTGGAAGGCTGGAGGGCTGGAAGGCTGGAAGGTTGGAAGGCTGGAAGGCTGGAGGCTGGGAAGGCTGGAGGGCTGGAAGTAAACACCCGGAGCTAAAACATACGGATTAAAACAGGTGTCTCATACTACCTCTGTTTGGATCTTGGGTTGCCCGCCCCCCACATGTTTTAAAATTCTCACCGTAGATGGAACTTGATGCACGCACGCTTGATGCGGGGAACCGGGAGCGACTTGCCCCGAAGCGGCACCCAACATGGGGACCATGCCAGGAGAAGACCTCCTGTTTGAAGCGTCTCCGAGCACCGGAGAAGGGGCTGAAAAGCATGATGATGGAAGCAAAACTGAATGTGTTGTTGCCAAAATGGCTGGTGATACGGAACCCCTGCATGGGGAGGCAAAAGCAGGCTGAGAGCTTGTAGGAAGCGATTGCTGTTGTGGGGGGGGGGAATCCCCCCGTGCTGCTGCATGACCTCGCCTGAGGGTTGCAAAACAAGAGAAGCAAGCGGAATAGCATCTACCACTTGTGATGAACGCATTTGCGGCTGAACAGAGTCAGCTGATCCTAGAGAGCCAGCCGACTCAGGGTCGAAGCATGGTTGAGGGCATTATGGCTCTTGCTCATGCAGGCGGTACCATCACTCTTCGGAAAAGCACAGTTGTGCAGGAATGCACAACTCGCACCCCTGCTGCATTTCCCAGATTGCCACTGCCTGCACAATTGCTTAGACTCACCGTTGACCAGAACATTCTTCACCCACGAGCCAGAACTACCTTTGCCGGAGGTTTTGCCTTTAGCGCCTTTATCCTTCCCCGGGCTTTTACCTTTGCCATCATAGCCTTGGCCTTTCCAGTGCTCAGACATGAACCGACCGAGCCCTTTGCCTTTGAAGCCTTTTTCATTGAAGCGCGGAGAAGGAAGAGGCCTAGCACGGGCCTGAAGCAGATTGCACATATCTCCTCGCACCTCGGTGTATTCAAATATGGCATCGTTTAAGCTCCAATCCTTCTCAAGAACAAGAGCGTAGATTCCCTGCCAAAGCTTGCAATCCGCTTGCTGGGCCTCCAGAACTGTAGGGGGCCTGAGACCTGATGAGGCTTCGTACCGCTGCGACAAAAGATGCATGAACTTGCTGCTGTAGCCCTTGAGGCGAGCTAAATGAGAAGAGCCAACCATGGCCAGAGCAATGTCGTGAATTGCCAAAATCCGCTGAACTGCACTCACGTCCATATAGCTATCGCCCACCTCCAGCGTGGGAGGTTCATCAAGAAGCAAGCTAGAGAGCCCGAGAGCTTCCAAGCGTGGTTGCTTGGTTGGCCTGCTAAGCTGGAGCTCAGCTGCTTTTTCCTCTGACATGCGATGCTTCCAGGGGATCCACTTGTAGTCTTTCTTACTTTCTTGACGAGCAGCTAGAGATACCAAGCGAAGCGAGGGCATTGTGGATGGAGACAAAATCTCGCTCGTGTACGCAGCAAGAAAGGTTTTCTTGTACTCCGTAAGCGTAGAAGCTGTGATTTTTGGGGCAAAGGTTTCTACCCAAGAGCTACCTTCCGACGTGGTGGTTGGAGCTGAAGGAGGGGCCGAAGATGCACTGCTTGACAATCCAGCCCACGCTGCACGAATCTGCGCAATCTGAAGACGGGAAAGCTCCGAAGAACCAAAGATTTCTGGAATCGCTTTCTCAAGGTCAGCTGGGGAATCAGCCGCATGGCGGAACGTGGACAAAGTCCACCCCGCATCTGTTGCCACCTTGATGAGGGCTTCCGAAAGGCCTTCGGCTTTGAGAATATCGGGTAGGGACATGGCGCAACTACACTCGAGACTAAAAAAGAGGGCACCTAGGGAACCCGAGCCGAGACTACAGGGACGCGCGTGGGGACTGAAGCAAGGCAGCCCGAGCAGAAGTACGCATATTCATCGGCAAACATCAAGCCCGGCAGACCAAACCGCCTGGTCACGACCAGAGACCAAGATAATGGAAACGCACTGCATGCAGCCCAAAATGCTTTTTCGAAAGCCCCCGGAATGCAACCCGGCTGCACCCATATTTACATTTTCCGCTTGCTTGCGTCCGAGCCTAGCTGATGCTACTGGTAAAGCGGAATTCTGAGGCGGTGCCAAAAGTAGTCTGATGCCTGCAGAAGCTGCTGCCAAGACCAGCTGGAAAGATATTGAAGCACACGCGCTGATTCTCTCACAGATTGTACCAGATAGAACCAGTCTGCAAAGTAAAACCGCACAAATCGAGATGTGTAAGGGAGCCGCACCAGCCTGAGCAGTTGGGCCCGACGATCAGCGATTGTTTCCTGCAGTTCCGTGCGAGTGCCAAGCTAATCTAAGCAAACGAAATGCGACTACATGTTTGAACCGCAAAACACCGGTTGTCAACCTGCTGCATTGCCAAGGGAATGAGAGCCAACGCACAAGAAGCATAAGCAGAACTGCGAGGAAGCCCCTAAGCTTTTAGCACTTGCGCAAGATGCGACTCACTGCTGAAGCTGGCCATATGCGATGCAGCAGGCCCTACGCTTGCAAAGCTGGAGCTGGGGATTGAAATCCGAAGAGATGCGAATGTGATCTGCTGGAAGCGAAACCCCACATGCTGGCCTGACAAATGCACCTTCATAAGGAATACCTTTTGATGCAGAAGCACGAACCAGCACATGCTGAATATTTGTCAATGACCCGAAAAGAAACTCATCCGCAGGACCCAGCGATGGACCTTCATCCGCAGAGCTGTCACCCGACTCCTCATCGGAAGACTGCATATCACGTAGTTGAAAAGACGGCACCTGCTTCTGCTGCTCCAGCGGGAAGTTCTCTTTGGAAGGAAGATCTACGAAAGGAAGTCTATTGCCAAAGCGAAGCGAGAAATGCCGAAAATAATGCCAGCTGCAGGGCCCAATCTCCTTTGAGAAGTTTTCCAACTGGACGTCCGGTTCCTCCATGGGGGATTGCGCTCCACGGTGTAGCGGAGTCATGAAGCGAGCACCGGAGCGAACTGCATGCTGGATCTTCATCTGCGCCCTCAAGGAGGGGACGATACCGTCCCTGCTGTAAAGTTGGCTCGAAGAGAGCCGGTGGTGTCCTTGGCAGGATTTCTCAATTTGAGATACCTCTGGTCGCTGTCCTGACCATGATAGCATTGTTGTCTTGAGAGAGTGTATTGTATAATTAAGAACCGGCGAAGATACAGAAGAGGGCGTGTTGCTTTTCCAGGGCAGAGTTATCACGTGACGCAAATGGCGAAGCGCAGCAGCGTAGCTCATCGGTTGCAATGGCAAAAGAGTATTGCCTGCACTGTCCAACGAAAGTAGAAGGCTGGAGGGCAAAGGAACCCCCGGGTGAAGGGAAAGATGCTGATGTACTGCATTGTCCAGCGCCTGCAAAAACCGATGGCACCAAGAATGATTGCCGTGACTCAAGAATCCATGGCACAGCAACCCGAATGGTTGTCCAAAACTAGTGGTTTTCGTCTGGAAACAACTCCCACGCAGCGATTGCCCATCGTATGCCAAAGAAGTAAAATGGACCCTTTGGCCGTCCATAAAGCTCAGAGATGCCCAGATGAGCACCAGGAAGGATCCCAGCAGTAGGATCTCGGGATCCGAGGCCTCTCGAGAGAGAATTCTTCTTTCAATCTGGATGACCACATAGAGTGATAGTAGCACCGCTTCCTTCCTTTCTCGAGGAAGCTTGCTCTTAAGAAAACTGGCAATAATCTGCGAATGGCTCACTGAAAGACATGCCACTTCAAGCATTTTGTAAACCCAGCGAACAGCCTTGATCGCAGTAGAAGAGTGAGAACCAGATTCAGGATCAGAGCTACGAGCCAGACTCATCACAACCAATGCATCAGCCATTTGAAACGAAGTGAGAGATTCAAGTGGAATCTGCATATCGCGCAAAGTGGCCAGAAATTGCTTGAACGCAGAGCAGTAACGAATCACTGTCGATGCCACGCAAAGGGAGAGCAACCGAGGCAAGTGATCTTGCTTGCTCCCCGCGAGGCCCTGGCCTATTATGACACTCAGAGACCCCAACGACAAGATGATTGTTAAGAAGACTTGCCTTGCAATTGGAGACTGCGAAGCATTCACACTGATGCCAGCTTGAGCGCGTTTCTCTTCTGAAGGGGCAGGGCCTATCCTAGAACCCGAAGACTTAAAAGCGGCAGCGGCTTTCTGAAGATCATCAAGCTCTGAAGAGGAAGCCAAACCTAAACCCAAGGAACCCCCAAGAGAGGAGCCAGGCTGGTTGTTCAAGGCTGAGACCGGTAGAGCATCAGGCTCCCGGCGTGACGGAGGCCCTGGAAGATCCAGGCATTTGGCGGGCAGAGGCGGGGCTGAAGTCCTATGCTTAGGGGATGGGACCCGCAATCCAGCACTGGAAGAAGGCAATGCTGTAGCTTTACGATCTGAAGTGCAGTCGGGATCAGCAGGGCGCTTCATGATCACAAGCCTGCCGTCTCAAGAGCTGCAACCCTAGCACGCAAGGCGTTGATCTCGTCCCTAGCCTCTTCCAGTGCCCGCAGAAGCAACACGTTGCAGCGATTCAAGCGAGTGGTTTCTCTCTCCAAACGGCTCACTCTCAGAAGAGAACGCTCAACCCTCGAGAGACGACGGCCAAATTCGTTCAACCACCGGCAAAGCAAATCAAGATAATGCTGGTGACCCGCACTCTGGACCGAAAGAGCATCCACTGTGTCCGCTAGCTCCGGACTCGAAGCCATGGGCCCACTTCTGGGGCAGATGCACCCCCCCCGGCCGCGAGGAGACTACAAGAGAAAGTGGTCGGAAGTGTTGTTGTCAAGCTGTGAAACTTGATACCTGCAAAAAAGGTTTGAAAACGATGTCTGAAACTAGAGATGCATGCGTAAAGCGTGGCTTGAAAAGCGCATTTCAAAGAAGATGCCCAGCCAGCACAACTGAGCCAAAATGTTCGCACGAACATAAAGTAGTAAAACAGATGTGAACAAGTACACAAACCAGACATGATGCGATGCTTGGCATTCTTGGAGAGGAAGAACAGCACGGGCCTGTATCCGTTTGTCAGGCTGGGCATGTGGGCCACAATGATCTCCTCCTCCGTGCAGAAAGACGGAATCAGCAGGATCCTCGTCAAAGCCGATGCGGACAAGCTCAAGGATGTAAAGATGCGGACTGAGGTCGACGAGGTCGAGCAGTTGATGTCCGACAGCTGGGAGCTCATGAAGAGTTGCACCTTGGATGAAGGTGCACGAGTGGGTGCCTATGGTCGATTGGCTGTTCGGCTGATTTCGAACCTCACCAACAAGGAGAAGTTTGGAAAGGAGCCTGCAGGTTTCCAGAACTTCCAAGAGATTGCCAAGCTCTTTGCTGCGGACTTGCAGAAGAAGGGTGGCCAAGTCCAGTCGAGCAGCTCATCGGGCATGGCTCCGGAGAAGGAGCTGAAGGTGCACAATTTGATCGAAGCGGATGCCGCCAAAGTCGCCCTTTTGAAGAACAACCACATGGAGCTTGGCAAGTTGCAACTTGGTGGTCGGTCGTATCAGGTTATATGTGCGAGGGCATGAAGACGTATATAGCCAGATGACTGTACACAGGCACGTGCTTGCCACTTCGCAGTACTTGAAGCCATGCTGGCTTTGCATGTATAGTGTCGGGATGAATTGCTAATGCAGGATTTATTGTATAATTTTTCACACATGAACCATTGCATACCCGAAGTCCTGAAAATTAGCATGCTATCGATGGCTATGTATGTCAAGTGTGACTGCATTGGGTGTTGTTCCATTTGGGCAGAAAAAGACGGAACAGGGTGAGGCTGGTTTGTAAATTAGGTTGAACCCATACATCCACGAATATATGTGCCATTGCAGAGGCGATGTCCTGTAACAGGAGGGCTGCAGGCTTGAAGTCTTTGAATAATGGCTCGTATGCAAAGCTGCATGATGCAGGTTCTCTAGAGGCTTTTTGCGCTTGGAGCCCCCTTAGATGGGATCTAGGAGTTTGGTACACTAAAGTGTATTTTCGTTCGCAAGCACAGCTAAGTTTTCCTATCGTTGTAGCATTGCAAGGACTGAACCTTGTGCATGTGTACAGAAAGATGAAACATGCAGTGTGTTTGTGTACATGTGGAGCTGCAGGTACAGTTGCAACAAGAGTCACGGCAACAAACTGTTCGAGTTCATGTCGGTTGCAGAGGACCATTGCTTGCTGGTTTGCAAGCCATTATTCGAAGATCCGATCGAAGCCAAAGTGGCTTTCAGCGATCTCAAGACTTGGAAGGTGCAGAAGGGACCGGTCGCCACTCTTTGTGGAGATGACATGAAGAGCAAGACCATGCTAATCGCCGTGCACCCCTTGCTTGAGGAGGAAACGGCGAAGTGCATGGTGCAAGCAACTTTGATGGAGGCATTCGCAGCCCATGCAGTGCCAGCCAACGAGCTACTCGTCTAGCCCGGAGTTGGCTGAGCTCTTGACGAAGAGAAACGATGTTGGGCAAAAGTTGCAGACAGGCGAGGCTGAGAAAACAGAAGGGCAGGAAAAGCAGGACCTTTTTGGCGGCGAGCCTTCGTCACCTGCCCGGAAGAAGCCTAAGAAGCAAATCTACAAGAGCCACGAGATGCAGCTTATCAAGATGGATGTGAATGGAAAAGAAGTTCATGCTCTTTGGGGTGGGCAAAGGCCGACCAAAATGGATTTGCACTTTCTGCTCGAGGCAGACATGCTCACGGCGGTTTTCGAGGAGCTGGAGCAGGATGCGGAGTTCTGTATGGAAGCTACCAAGCGAACCTATATCAAGAAGAAGAGCACCAAGACTTTTGGAGTTCCTCCTGATGGCGAGGCGGAAGCTTCCAACTCCGAGCAAAGTGACTAGCATCATGCTTTGCAGCATGCATGGCATGCCCCTCGGTTTCTGTAGCAAGCAGGAACATGCAGCACCATGGCGATTTGAAAACATTCGCACGTTTTGCAAGGGTTTCCTGTGTTTCGTCGAATGCAAGCCGACTTTGGCTCGGAAGCCATGCTGGCTCGTCTGTTGCAGTATACTATATACTCCTGTCCAGCATGCTCAGAGCTTTGGAGTATACGTTCTATTCCTGTTGTACAGTATCATAGAGTACCACCAGAAAAGGTAGAACAAAGAATAGTTCTACTTCAATCAGTGGTGCATGGAAAGATGCTTTCACAGATCGACTCCCATATCATCCAGAAATACACATAAACAAGGGTTCATGCACGGACCAATCGCATGCAACTGCCATTTCGTTTGGAATCTGCTTTTGGCTCCATGGCCTGCAGTAAGTGTCTCGACATATTATCGTGGGAAGGTCGCTGCCGCCTTTCGTTTCCATGGCTAGCAGGAACCTGAAGGTCTGTGCCACTTTGGGGTGCGGCCGTCGGTTCTGTGCTTCCAAGCACAGGCATTGTTGCAGCGACTGTGCAGAGACTGCTGCGAATCAAGTCCCTGTGCACTCGAACCGGTGCCAAAAGCAGCAACGAAGGCTAGGGCGACGAGTTCCCGATGCAGTCGCAGAAGCAGTGGTTTTCTGTGGAACAAATGGATGCCGTCGGCCCTCAAAGCCTGGCTTTTCTGCATGTTGTTCGTCCTGCAAGGAATCGGCTGGCAGATTTCACACTTCCCGCTGCGATGCTGCCGCTTTGTCGTTAGCATCGGCGGCTTCGACATCCATGGCAACAGCTTCGTCAGATGCTGCAGTGCCTGTGACCGATTTGACCGGAGCAGAAGATGACGATGAAGAGCTGCAGCAGCAGCAGCAGCAGTCCGGGTCTTGCTTGAACCGGCCAGCTAGTGGTCAGGAGGAGGCAGAGGATGAAATCCTTCGCCGTTTTGATTTGAACGAGCTCGATTGATGGTATATGAGGGACACCGGAAATAAGATTGCTCGTGCCCGCTTTGCTGTTGCATGCTTGGTTCTTGCAGTGGTAGTATGGTGGTGCAGTATACAAGTAAAAGTATATATAGTGTGTACTAGTAGTAGTAGTAGTAGTAGTCGTAGTCGTAGTAGTAGTAGTAGTAGTAGTACTAGTAGTAGTAGTAGTAGTAGTAGTAGCAGTAGTAGTAGTAGTAGTAGTAGTAGTAGTAGTAGTAGTAGTAGTAGTAGTAGTAGTAGTAGTAATTAGTAGTAGTAGTAGTATGTAACAGTAGTAGTAGTAGTAGTAGTAGTAGTAGTATAATAGTAGAGTAGTAATAGTAGTATATATATAGTGTAGTAATATAGTAGTCTAATGTAAGTAGTAGTAGTATAGTAGTAGTAGTTAAGTAGTAGTGCGTGGGGGATTGATCTCGACTTGGTTGCTGCTCTCCCCACCAGAGCTGTAATGAATGTAGGTGTGGCTGGCTAGCACTCTCCACAGACTGGACCCTGTCTCTCCCTCTTACTCCCACACGTGCGATCCTATGCAGGCAGAACCGGCGGCCGTTCCTTTTGCACTCACTGCCGGCGGCGGTTCGTCTGTGCAACGGGATAGCTCTGATTGCTCAGGATAGAAGACACATATAGCACTTAGCTATGGGCATTGACTTGAGCCAAACGTTGCGTTGGCGGTCACATAGAAAGGTAAAGATGAGGGATGCGTAGCATGCCCCCTAGAGTCGAGGGACGCGTAGCGTGCCCCCTTCTCTTGCACTTTACACGGTCTTGCTCACAGCTCTTATAGTGACACCTTAGAACTTGACAAGGCATCGCAGTCCGTTCGCACCCCCCATGAGTTGCGTCTCCGACGCTGCTCACCCGGAAGATGGCACGATAGGACAGAAGAAAATTCCGCCGCAACGTTGACTTTGAAAATCAGAGCTTTGTATCCCAATTAGAAACGTTGTGACACTCATCTACGTCAGTAACGATCCCCTGAAATGACAAACGAATCAGGCGTCACCGAAGAATGAAGCATTCGCGATGGCATTCCACAGGCGAAGCTCAGAGGTCACGAACTGATAGGCGAGGAAGATCAGGCGTTGTCTCGCCACCATCTTCGCGTTGACGTAGGATCGCGTTCCCAGGGCCTGAGGTTCTCCTCTGGATACTGGTTTCTTGGCTTTCCTTTGTCCTTGCCTTTGTTTCGGCCTTTGGCGGCGATGTAGTCGTGGTAGGAATTGGTGTTCCAGCCACCATGTTGCTCGCCTCTGGTTCTTCCACGCCCTTTTGAAGGTCCCTTGGATGAAGAAGCGCTTTCACGTTCCTCCGTAGTGACAGGCGTGTCCAGGATGGAAGTACCACCTGGAGGAAGATAGTCGGCGGCCGAAATGTGATGTAGGGCTTCCGTACGCCTTGTCGTCGGGTTTTGCTGTCTCTCAGTTTTAGATCTGTTCAATCTGTCCATGAAATGCGCAGGCATTTGAACGCTGTGGTCCACCAGCAAGGCGATGGTCTGAACTGACTGATCAGAATGAGTCAGCAGAATACCGACGGGGTCGATGTACAAGAAGTCCACTGTTCCAGTTGGCGTTGGTCGTAGCACTGAGAATTGTTGGTGTCCCGTCACCATTGGGATCACCTCGCATAGGACGTTCAGGCAACAAAAGTGCATTGCCTTGACATCTTCATCCCTGTCGCTCTTCAAGTAAGTAGTAGGGTTGAAGTTGTCCCTGCCAATTCCCATCATGTTGGCTCCCGTACAAGTAAAGAAAGCATCTGGTTCGTCCGGAAGCGCTTCAAGGTGTAAGTCCCGTTGGGATCATACTGTTTGAGGTTCTCAGGTTCCTTTGCAAAGCGAATGATCTCCTCATCAGTCACGTCCCTGCTGACACCCGTTTCCTTATCCACTGCTGCCAAAGATCCCCACTTTCCAAGCACATCATAGCGTTGGCCAAGTGCGAAACTTTCCCTCATCTGAAACAACGGCATAGTCGCCCACTTTGCGAATCCTGACCAAGCCTTGTAGATGGATCTGCATACCACGTATGCCATGTACGAAAGAGCGGTCATGTTCGCGTCAATGCAATGGGCATTTCGCTTTCCAGAATAGTAGGATGGCTGCATGGCGGTACGTGCAAGTTGTAGCTCAGGATCGATGTTCAAAGACTGGCCGGTAATGAAGACGGGACGACGTTCCTGTGCGATTGCTTCTGGAACTGCGTCATCAAAGTCCTCTCCAGGCTCTATGTCCATTTCTTCATCAGGTTCCTGTTCTGGATCGTCCTCCGCGATGACAGATGGTTCTGGGATTTCTTCAGGTTCCGCAACGGTCTCTACCTCCATGGCTTCCTGCTCCTCTTCGGGCGCCTCAGGCACTGCGGCTGCTGCGGCTTCCATTGTCTGAGCAATGAAGTCACTGGGGATCTCCGTAGGAGTCTCCCGTTGTGGAGAACCTTGGTAATATCCACTCGAAACGAACTGTGACCAGCAAGACGTGCATCGGGAGAAACATGCTGGAACGATGTTGTAGCATGCCGGGCATACCCTCATTCTCCGTCCATCCTCGTCTCTGCGTAGGTCTTCGGGTCGCCAATTCTTGATGACAAACTTGATTCCTTTGTCCATGTAGTGATGCCGAACCGTGTTCTCCCTGTGGGACTCCAGGACAGTCGTGAGGTCTCGAATGATCTGCTCCTTGCTTGTGTCGTGGGGTCCAGGAGGCATCTCGCAAAGCAATTCCATGATCTTGCTTGGCGTTCGGTATCTCTCGAACTCAGGAAGCAACGGTGATGCATTGTAGTCCAACACCAGCTCTTTCTCCAACCTTTCATCGTAGATCTTTTCCACCAGAGCGAAAGAGTGTGTATCTCGAGGATCAGGGACGCAAAACCATACCTCCTTGACGAAATGGAAAGGTATCGTTCGACCAACGATCATTATGCCGCTGTCAGTGATACGTCCATCTTCTCGTGCAAGATCTTGTGATGGGACATGAAGGACCGCCAATGGCATGTGCTTGGCGTCTCGTCCATGTACTCGCATCTTGGTCGTTGCGTTCCGGTGATCGAACGGCGCAAACACCCCCCAATAACTGTGGAGTCTGCCGCCTTGGTTGCCTCGGAATTGGCGCCTATGGTCGAAGTCCCCGTCGGGGTCCTCCGAACCAGGCATGATGCCTTGCGTGACAATGGAATCCAAGTTGCGGCATGCCGTAGCGTGGAACGCACCTCCAAGACGTTGCAAGAGGGTCATAGATGGAGATATTGCGAACCTGTTCTTGTCCAACTGAAGCAAGTTGTTCTGGGGATCTGAATGCGCAGAGTGACCACTCGTAGCCCGAACTGCCCATGGCTTCACCCAGCCGTTGCATAGGTTCAGGTACCTCTGGCCATGTCGGCAATGGTCGTTGCTCTGGATCTCCGTGATCTGGTCCCGAACTGATACCAACATGTTCGAACCTGCTGATCCAAGAACTTCCGTGCCGGGGTCCTTCACTCTCACACCCAGGAACTGCAACCGAATCTTGGCCTTGTTGCGTTTCGTGGCTGCAATCATGTTTCCCTGGAACAATAGCTGAAGTCTTTCATTGTACACTCTCTTCTTCTGTTGATCATCGGTCCTTGAGACCCCTTCGGTGATGCGTCTGCTTTCATGGGTCCATAGTGGCTCATGCCTCACCAAGTCTTCGATCAGCACCCACCCTCCTTCATCACATTTGATGACACTGTTGAATGCCACCTGGCACCGGTTGTCAAGCCATTCCGAGCCTGGGCGCCTGGCGATTCTGTGGCGCAAGTCAGACTGGATGCATGATAGCGCCCAATCCGCATTCAACCTGCGCTGACGGGTGATGTTGCGAAGGACAACTTCGTTCACGATGTCCCACCGATTGTTGATGAAGCTTGCACCCTTGGTTGGGATCAGGTCGAGAATTCCGCACCGGATTGGCCTTCCGCCGCCGATGGATTCATAGCCTGGATTGGTGTAGCTGTTAGTG